CCCTCCACAGAAGCCAAATCATGGGTGAAGTGTTTGCCTAGGACACAACGATATGCTGCACTGCAGTGGGGTTTGAACCTGTGCCCAACGCACTAACCCACTGCACCAAACGCCTAAATACATTACGATTTTTAATGGGTCAATTACCAGGATTATCCCTTCTTGATTCTTCTTTTAGTCAGGCCATGTTAGGTGAGACAGCTTTACAGGTACATTCTGCTTTATCCTTGTAAACACAGGACGTAATAAGAACATTAGCCAGATAAGACCTTGAATCTAGGTTTCTCTGTGCACAGAGAGCGGGGGTCTCACCCTGCTGCTGGTGACTGTGTGCTGGAACANAACTCTTTGAATTGAGGACGGGACCTCACAAAACGGTCCTCTAAAACTCAGTGGTCCCCACAAACATAGATGGACAAGCACATTTTCTGAACTTGATAAAGAGTCTATCCTCTCTCTCTTTACACACACACACACACACACACACACACACACACACACACACGTGCACACACTAAAAACTGCCGATATTGATTGCTATTAATAAACTGAAGCCCTGTAGCTTGTTGCTGCTCCGCTCTCACTTGTGGAATGTGTGGGAGTCAACCACAGCTCTGACAGGTAGTGGAGAAGCGTGTGAGATAGATCAGATAAAGAGAGGGAGAGAGAGAGAGAGAGCATGCGTGTATCTCCATCGCTTCAGCCAGGCAGTCTAGTTGGCTACCTCTCCTCGCGGACAAAGTGAGTGTGTGAGTGTGTGTGTGTGTGTGTGTGTGTGTGTGTGTGAGAAAGTGGGTGTGAGCAGCTGAGCGAGTTGGTTTCTGTGCACGTTGAGAGTGGCCGCCACTCCACTCTTCTCCGCTCATTCATGCTGGATTAAAAAAAACTAAACCCTTTTTATTTTATTTTGGGGACTCATACACACAGCTGTTTGGGACACATTCACCCTTGCAGCTGCTGAAATGAGTGAGGAGGTTAAAGACAAAGCTACGGGGAAGACAGCACACCGCAAGAAGAAAGGAAAGAAGGTAAAGAATGACTTGTAAACAACATGGGGTGGCTGCTTGAAACAACAACTAAAAACATGTCAGTCTTTCTACCAGAAAGGGAGACCTGTGTTTTTTTTTTTAAAACAAAAGCTCTTGCATATATTTTTTACATGTGTCTGATTTCATATTTAGGATGCTTTTGATCTAATTTAACAGGTTTATTTCAGTTGTATCGCCTTTGGAAGTTGTGCTTTTTGTTGATGGGGAGCAGCTCTTTTGTTGTGGTCGTTTTGATGACAGAGCACTACCGTGGTGTAGCAGCTTTTGTTCTTCTGATATTCAACAAAAAAGGCAGTTTATTCATTCCAAATGGAGTCAAATAGTCTTTTTTTATAACGGCCATTGTGTACAGTTAAGCATTGAAATAACCCATACAGAGATTTAAGATGTGGTTATGTAGCTTAGACACTTCCATTTATTTGTTTATGAGATTATTTGTATCCAGCAAATGTCTAATTTCCAATGGTTTCCTTCTTAGGTTGAATATGAACCATATTGTTGCAACACAAAGTGTGACTGCAGGTATTAAAAACCTGTTAACCTTTCAATATGCTCAGTGAGAGCAGAAGATAAGAAATTCAAGAGTGATCAGGCACATGAAATGAGAAGGATGGGCAAGGGAGAGAAGACATTACGTACACAATCAGAGATCAGGTGAAAGGTAAAGGTTGAGAGTAAGAAACAGAAAACATGTGGAGAAATATCAGAGGGATGAAGAATTAGACGAGTGACAGTGGGAGGAAAGAGGGGACTTGTTTTTTTTCCAAAAATAAAGAGCTGTATCATACTACAAATGTAATTATATTGACCAGCTGCTCTAATACCATGTTCTGTCAAATCATGTTAACACCATTTTTCATTTACTGATGAATCTTGCATCTTTACAACACGAAGGAGCCAATATGCCAATATTTAGTTGTGATGCTAATGCAGCAAATGCCTTCTCATGCCAGTTCAGTGATTCAAATGCTGACAGGATTTACAGTTCTACATTAGCTGCCGGATATCAGCGAGTTTGTCTGTGTTATTTCCCTGTATAACACAATCTAAACAAGAACATGAATCAGTAAAAGTTATTCTTTGGAGAATATTTGCTGGATTTGTTAGGGTTTCTGTTTTGGGTAAATGAGACAAAAGACATTTAGAAGTCTTTGTTAGATTTTTTTGTTACTAATGGGAATCGTATTAAATCTCCTGGCATACTCTGTTTTTTTTTATGTGAAATTAATCAATACATTAATTGATTAATTTTGAATATTGTCTAACTTCCAGCAACCTTACATGACTTTGGCTTGATAAAGTAGTCTAAAGCTGGTGAATTACTGTCTTTCCTACACCATTTTTTTGTTGTATCTATAATGGAGTGTTTTCTCCAACGTTAGAATTTCGTTTTCAAGGTTGTACATTTCATTTAATAAGGACATCTTTAAAAGCTGACCAATCTAACAACCTTGCTACTTGATGGTTAGCATTAGGTTTGCAGGTTATTTACATATTGGTAAAATTATCTTTCATTCATTTACGTGACACTTAGTGGTTTTGCCGTTCTGCCATACATTTGTAGCTTGTCCCTTCTTAGAAATAAAGTAGCGAGAGAGGTCTGAAAAGTAGCGAGAAAGGTGTCAGGTTGCAAAAAGCTTTCCGTTCTCAGTGCCATCTATGCATTTTAATCTATCAAAGTTTAAGTTTGACACCCTGCCACATTGAGGACTTTACATTTCTGTCTTCTATCTGAAGACTCTGCTTTGTTGTTGTGTGGGTTAAGGTTTCTATGCACTGTGTGTACAGTATGTGTGTGTTTCTCTGCTGTGAAAAAAGCTGCTGGCTAAGCACCTTTTATCCTATAAGATTCAGCCCTATGTTTAGTCAGCTGTTTTTAATTGTTTCCCAGTGTACACACACACACACACACACACACACACACACACACACACACACACACACACACACACACACACACACACACACACACACACACACACACACACACACACCACAGTCTTCTCTATCTAGTGTAACAGGTGTTTTTGGCTCTTTAAACAGACAAAGAAGGCAGCATAAAGTGTAGCCTATATGATTTAGTACACCTTTAATATTGATGCTATGTCCTTTGGAAGGGACAAGGCTCTAAAAATGTGTGTTGGTCTAACGTATCGGTGAGATTAATGATTATTTTTGTATTTGAGGAATGCAAATGGAGGCTACAGAGAGGAGAGGGAGGTGGAGAGAAAAGACCAGAGAAGTAGAGGAGGAGTCAAACAAGGGTGGGGAGGAAGAGTGGGGAGAGCAAGGATGGAGGAAGAAGAGAGGTGAGGATGAAAGAAAGAAAGAAAGGGAATGTTTTGATAGACAGCGTTTCGACTGATTTGATATGACTGTTGTGTCGCTGTGATCCTGCACTGAACAGACAGTCGGCAAGGAAAGAGGAGAGAAGATGGCAAAGCAGATGAAAAGAAAGAGTGGAGTAAAGTAGACAAAAAGGGAGGAGGTAGATGAAGAGAAGGGTAGGCAGAGAGTGAAGAGGAGGAAAATGGAGGAATCAAAGACGTCTATTCAGGGAATGAGTAGACAGGATAAATAGAGAGAACAGAAAGTAGAAAAAGAAGAATATAGGAGCATTTATTTTGGCTTTGATGAGATAAGTGTTGCCTCCACTCTCCACCTGTTGCTAGGGACACAGGGAATGTGTGATTCACAGTGAAAACAGTAGCACTGATGTGGATGACAACATGCACAATGTGCTTGTAACCGGGAAGAACCATCACATCCGGCCAAAGGAACAATTGAGTGCTTGGATGTGGGTGTGATTTAAGGAGTGAAGATATTCAGTGACAGGAGTGCTCTAATGCTTCAGTTAGATGAAGCCTCATGTCAATAATAAGACTGTCAGCTGAGAGGTTAGAGGTGCAGAAATGAGTCCTTAAATTAAGAAATTAGTTTTAGCATTTCTGGTTCGCTTGTCTTGAATTCAATGATACTTTTTACTTGGATTTGGTTGAAATAAGGTCTCATGCTAGTACAAGCTCGAGAGATTTTCCATATATTGTTCTACGACGGAATGTCGTAAAAACTGCGGTTGCTACCAAGAAACTCCCTCTGGAGGGAACTTTGGGATTCAAACCCCAAAATACATAACAGGGCCTCTTTAACAATAATAAAGGTGGTTAATATGGGGCCAATTCTTTCTAATGATTGTTGCAACATTGGCTGTGATATCCTACTTAGTAATTTTGTTTTTTTAGCTGTGACCAAGCAAACATTTGTTAAAATTGTTATGATAGCAATAAAAAAAACTAGCAGGGCACTGGGAGAGCGCAACATCTGCAAAGTCGATGCCAAAAAAAAATTATGTGTTTTTCTGCCCACTTAATTAGATTCGCTCCAAAATTGAATTCAAGATGTGGCTGTCAATATCTATATTTTAATGCTAAACTGGATCCAAATAGTTTCAAATGAAGCTAATCATTTCAAATATATGGTTAGTTTAATTAATTTATGGGTAAATAAAAAAATACGTGAACAAGATAAGAATGGTGGGTAAAAAAACAGGACACACTGTGATACAGTACATCCTCCATATTTACGTCATCATTTTGTCCTTATCTGTCCCCCGTTGATGTAATTAGTTACATGCCTCTGGTCTGGGTATTGGTGTGAAGTCTATAAAAGAGAGCAAGATACACGAGGGACCTCACAGCTTAGCAGGTGTGTTAATGGTTGTAACTATGACAACCAAAGCCCCCTGGGAGAAGGAGGAAGTGTTAGGAGCTGTGGAGGTTAGTCATCAGGTGGAGGAACTGCATTCAGCTCAACATCAAGTATCCAGTTGCTTAGTGTTAACAGGAGGACTTCAGAGTATGTTATTCAGTGATAATTTAACTGGATGAACTGGAGTCTAGTAGGAAGAAAACAAATTGATATGTGCTGTCCCACCCTGCTTTTAGTCTGCGTGTGTGTGTGCTATTCATATGTAACTCAAATCCCTGTCTGTGGTGAAGTCTTGTAAGTGAGGAGGGAAACAGGAGGACGGTGACAGAGGCCGAGTAGTGACTGCTCTTTGGCTCCGTTCATCATTCCTTTTTCTTTCTTTTTTGGGAGCGGGGTTTATTAGATTACTCTGTAAAATAATCATAGGGTAAGATTTGGAATATATTTCAAATTTAGACACCTTTCCAGTTTTCTTTTATTTAATATTGCATGCATGGACTGGGTAAAGCAGCAGTAAAAAATGTTTATTGACATAATGTGAATGATCTGCATTGTAAACATTAGGCAAGGTGTGTGAATTCAGTGTATCTATAGGCGCTTTCACACCGGAGTACTTTTCCCAGAAATAGTTCCGATAGTTCCTGGGATGTTGCGTTCACACCGTTTGGGGAACCTTTTCACCCCTTTTTAGTCCCTACTAGAGAGCAGGGACTTTCCTGGGGAGAAAAAGGTTCCAATTTCTGATTGGCTGGGTGAATTGCAAACCACGCCCCGTAAAACTCTGAAAAGTTTTTGTGAAGCCGCCATTTAATTTCCTCGCATTAGCATTATTAGAATTAGCATTAGCCCAGCGCACAAACGCAGAGAGACTAACTTATGGCAACACAAAAGAAAACATGGGAGCGGTGGAGTGATGACGAGGTGTCGGCGCTTCTGGCGATTTACTCGGAAGGCTTCAGTAGAAGCTACTGGGAGCCAGTCCCCAACTTTCGGCCGGGGACTGGCTCCCAGCAGCACCCTCAGCGACTTATTCCGGTGTGAACGCGATTTAGATAGTTCCAGGAAATAAAAGTTGCGGGAAGAGTTCCGGTAACTATTCCTGGGAAAAGTACTTGGTGTGAAAGCGCCTATTCTTCACATCATTATGCTGAAAGGATTGGGAGGAGACATATTGAGAGGTGTTTCTTGTGACTCTGTATACAAGCCTATGTTACATAACATATTGCAATTGCTTTTATGATGTTATCTTTCAGACAATCAAGACAAACCTTACGCGAGACAATGAATTTGTTCGAGACAGCATGATGAGCCTCACCAACCACTTTAAGAGATACGAGAACTACTCCAACGTTATGATGAGCATCAAGAAGGACATCTCCAGCCTCAGCCTGCAGCTGCTGCAGAAGGACTCCTCAGAGACCAAAGCACAGGTTCCAAGAAACACAATTCTTTCACTATTTCACCTTTTATTTACTTATTTTTTCAGTTTTTCAGTTTTATTGTGTTGCACTGTTGGAGGAGACTGTGACCTAAGATTTTAATCGACATAACTAAATTGTAGCTATGTACGTATGACAAATAAAAGCCTCGAACCTTAAACCTTGAATTCAATCTCAAGGAGTGACAGAAAAACATAACAAATCTTACTCAAATTTGATTGGATTTGATCATACTTTAAATGTCCCTTGGAGATTCTGCAAATAACATGTCTTACATTGCTATATATTGATTTTTATAATGTTTTGCAAATTCAGGTTTTAGATTTTCAAAATAACCAAATTAAGTTTAATGCCCATTTTATTGGTGACCAACTCATATGACCACTTCTGCGTACCAGGGACTTGCTACATTAAATACTTATTAACATCTCTGACAAACATTGTAGGTATACTATCTAACCCCACCCTTTTTTAATAGCATGGTCAGCAGATAAGACCCACAGGCCAATATTACCAGGTGTTGTGATATAAACAGAATGTCATGTTTGCAGGATACTAATGTAGAGAAAACCAAGGAGGCTGCAAAAATTCCTAACAAAAAGACCCCTGCGGCCAAACTTTCAGCCAAACCACCCAAAGCAAAGGTCGTAAAACCCAAGAAAGAGGTCATTAAACCTGGGAAGCCGGCCAAGCCTGACCCTACAGCAAAAGCCAAGGTGGTTGGCCACCAGCCCGGCGTGGTGAGGGGCATCACATACTACAAGGCCGCCAAGAGTGACGACGATGAGCACAGAGGAGGTGGGATTTTCATTTCTCCAAGCATAGTGGTGTGTTCATAAAAAAGCCACCCTCTCTGAGCTAAAGCAAACCTTTTGCTCTAAGTTTGCACTTCCATCTGTGTGTGATCATTGTGTGTGATCCTCTGTTGGTGTTGAAAAGGGTCCAAATGTGTTTCTTCAGCAATGTAATCCAACGCAACATGAGACTTTGCTGGATCAGGCAACAGCCTTCCAGTCGAAGAGCCAAGATCATAATTAGCTTGATTTAGAGGACAATATAAAGCTTTCCTGACAATTTTGTTTTACACAAGCGTGAGATAGGGCTGTTATTGTGCTGCAAACTTGACACTAAAGCTCAATGCAATACAATAAGGAATCCATGGCTGTTTGCACACTAGGTCCCCTCAAAAGATTTAAGGTTTTTCGCAGAGCTAATGTAGTTAGCATAGGATTGTATTTCTGGTTTAGGGTTAGAATTTGCACTCCCTGAATGGGAGCGCAAATTCAAATCTTTGTATTGACAAAATACCTGGAGCTGGTGGAATGCTGTCTCAAAGGAGTGCTGCCATGTCCATGACATGCCTTGGCTTCAGTGTGTAGGGACCCTCACCATCGCAGAGAAAACATTTCCTGACTCCTTCCAATCCTCTTTAAGTCTAGTTGAGTGAATAGGTATGCTGCGTCTGCACCGGGCACAAGCACAAAACGCTGTCAGAGCCCGTGTTCTGCCGTATGTGTGTGACCTCAGAGGGCCCAGCCACCCTTGTCAAATCACTGAAACCAGGCGGCTGCATTTCAATAATCTCCGGCAAAGAGCAGGATGCAGGAACTCTGATTCATCCAGGGAAGATTCCCACATCTTCATTTCTTTTCGTTTTTTTCCTGAAATTCCTCTTTTCAAACTTAGTTTCAGTTTCATATATTTTACTGGTAGCTGCACAGCGTTCTGGAGCAGCTGATTTTGAGTTAATCTATCATTCTATTTGACCTATCACTTTGACTGTAACCAGTGGAAGCAGAAGAAAAAGAGTACATTCTAACAAACACTTTTTGAACTATAGCTCCTGTTAACAGTTTAACTATAAAGGCATCTCGGAAAGAGACTTTTAACAACAGGGACTGTGACATTCAGACTGAGGCATTTTTACTGTAGCCAATCAGGAGTTTGCAGAGGTCATTGTCCAGTCTGAAAACCTTCACATTACCATGCAAATAGAGTGCAGGTTTAAAATATACACTCTCCTGTGCGGTGATGCTGTAGAAATATGTTATTTTAGGATGAACTGTCCCATTAACTGGCATACTTTAACATCTTCATCACAGTATCCTAATAGTTTAAAGGGGTCTTAGATCTTTGTCAAAGTAACAAAGGAAGTACAACGTGTGTCCCGTCTGCTTTACCGAACACACATGATAACTGAACAATCTGTCCTCTTCATGTGCTCTCCACACAGTCATCAGATACACTCAAACAATGAGATAACACTTTTAGCAGATAACTATATTTTTTTTTTAATTGGGAAAGTAGAGTTACATTTATTTCAAGGTACAATAAAAAAATGTAATCTTAAAACACTTAAATTGTGTAAAACGTTCCAGAATATTGTCTGTACTCCCTCATCAGGTCCATGTGTTCAGTGTACAGTGTGGGGAAGATGCTGCTGTAATGTGCGCACATCTGTCTGACAGCAGCCGACAGCAGCAGGAGAGCAGGCTCTCCCTCCGCAGACCACACGTGCATAAAACCCTAAAACTAAACAAAAAAAGCAAAAGTATCACAACTACAGTTCTGGTAGAGATATAACATTGCAAAAGCAGGAGGAAGGCAGGAACTTTCAAACACAATGATTATCATCATTTATCATGTCATGGTTATGATTGACAACATTTATATTATCCATCAGAAAATTGGACTTCACTTCTTTAATACCACCAACATGAAGAAAGTTCTGCCGAGATACTTTCAACACATCAGCTGCCCGACGTGCGGGGGAAACATACTGGACCATGTTTATTCCCTTTTTCGACATGGATATAAGGCTCTCCCTCGCCCTCCCTTCGGCAAATCAGACCACATCTCACTGCTGCTGCTGCCTGCTTACAAGCAGAAACTTGAACGGGACAGACCGGTAACAAGGACAGTACAGCGATGGAGTGAGGAGTCAGACTCAGCTCTGCAGGATTGCTTTGCATCTACGGAGTGGAGTGTGTTTGAGGACAACAACATCAACACACACACAGACACGGTCATCTGCTACATTGGGAAATGCATCGATGACTTGGTACCGAAGGTTTCTGTACGAACATTCCCGAATCAAAAGCTCTGGATAAACAGTGAGGTGTGTACCAAGCTGAAAGCGCGCACTATCGCGCACAGAGCTGGAGATTTGGAGGAGTACAGGAATTCTAGGTATGAACTCCGGAGAGCTATCAGCAGTGCAAAGAGACAATACAAAGACAAGGTTGAATCTGACTTCAAAGGCTGTAACACCCGGAACATGTGGGCGGGACTAAGAACAATGGTCCTCCAACGAGGACCTTTACTCCCAGCGGCTCAGGAAGAAGGCCATCAGGATTATAAAAGACCCCCATCACCTCAGTCACAAACTGTTCTGTCTGCTGCCGTCTGGCAGGCGCTACCGCAGCATCCGGACTAAAGCCACCAGACTCAGGGACAGTTTCATCCCACAGGCAATAAGACTGTTAAACACCTGAACTGTTGAAACAACATCCACAATATTCATCTGGCTGCTACTTAACA